CCCATGCAGCAGGAATCTAGGCTGATATAATGTGATTAGCTTCTCTAACAAAAGAATCAGATGCTTTTTAAAGACCTACTTGGGGGCTGCCACACTCCTGCAGAAGACACAAGGGTTTGCATTTCTACAATAAATGCTGATGGTACCATCGACAGACTCTACCTGAGTAGTGACATTTGGCTGTTTCCTCGGGGACAGAATTTCCCCAGTAATTTACTGGCTTCCAACAATAAACTTATGAAAAAAAAAAAAAAAAGAGAGAACTTATCATGAAAGACAGAACAGGTGACATTAATATTCACTTTGAGTAAAACAGTAGCACCAATCATGATTTCTCTTCATTCTTACTGCTCCACATTTACCAGTTCTACCAAAAATAAGGTTAACACCCCAACAGTGGATAGCTTTTTCATAATAAAGTCAGAACAAATTTTCCTCAGTAGAGCAATATGTCCTGAATACACATAAAGCCCTTACATTTTTGATTAAGGGTAGTTCATCTACTCAGAACCCCGGGACACCATCACGTGAGAAACTGGGAAAATTCCAGTGATGCTAGAACATATGGTTACTGTAAATAATAGAAACATACACATTGAAAAATGCTTCATGGGAATTGCACAGAAAAATACTTTTGTCTTCAACTTCCCAGAACAGGTTCCCTAGAGGATATTTTCTAAAAGAGCAGCCAGTCTACTCTTAAAATTCCCAAGGCTGGTGCTTCCACCCTGTCTTCTGATGCATTACATTTATGAGCCTGCCATATACATTTATTTCACTGCTGCTTTCACTCATCGGGGCCTTATTGCTTTAACAGCCACCGCACATCTGAGCAATCCTCATGCAAGACCTCAAGCATGTTTTGTTCGGATACCAGCAGGACAGGACACACTTGGACCTCTACGGCAGCAGATTAAACCCTTCCAGAAGATCCATTCAGGTCAGGCACTACCTGCTGAGCTCACACTCGAGTACGGCCACCCCAGCGGAGGAGAGAGCATCATTTCCAGTCTGTACACCCAAAAACACCCACAACAAGCGCCGAGAGGAATCCTGGCGCTGAGGGTTTGTTTCTCTGCTTGTTTTTTGACCATGGGCCAACTCCTCAACCTCCTACAACCGCACCCTGCTCACCTATAAAACAGGATGGGGGAGAACATTAACAAATTACAACTTTTTAAATTGAATTTCTGTGGTTTAACATGTGTATTAACAAACAATGGAATTTCTCTCCTCCTAATGCATTAATATATCCAGTCACAGCCTGCTTCCTTCTTAAGGCATCTTGTTTACATGAATGCTTTATTTTCTAATTAATTCTTAATGCTAAAGAGCATTACAGTGCTCAGATAAGCAGTCCTACGTAAACTCAAAGAATTAAATAAGTATTTGGTTTCTATTTGCAGCAGAACATCCAAAACATTATAGCCCTTTGTCATACAAAGGCATAGGAGCTCTACCAAGTTTCCAAAGCAGACAAATACCTAAATTATTTTCTTCATTTCTTCAGTTACATTTGCACACAAGGTAAGAAAAAGAAACCACGTTAAACACTGCTAAGGGATCTTGGCAGTGAAAACGAGTCAACTGAGTGATTCACACAGAAAGCTCCAAAACATTCCTGCCACTTGACCTAAAATTAACAGATCTGTCAAGTTTAAGAGTAAGGTTTCCTTGGCAGACCGAAAAAAAAAAAAAACCCACAACCTTCCCTTCTCAGTCATCCCTTCAAGGAAAATCCCAAAGCCAGAATAAAGTTTGCAGAGGGTTTTAGTTACAGTTAATGTATAAGCCAACAATGTTTACTCAATATTATATAGGCTTTGCAACACACCACGGCAGTAAATTAGCTTGATATATTAGTTCTTGCTGGGAAAAGGAGACTGTCTCCAAGATCTGTAAAGCACTGCAAGTATTTCCCTTGTGGTGCAGAGATGAGTTCAGGTCACAGCAATAAAATCCAGGCCAACGTGCTGTGCTGCACAGGGCACACACAAACAGGCTCGGGATCCCTGGGGCCCTCCCTGCACGTGTGCAGGACACCCCTTGCCCATCACAGGGCAACACGTGTCACCGAGCAGCCGATGGCTCCTCACGTGCCTGGGCCTCGCGCTTCACTAAGGCTGCGACGGAACTGGGACTTCCTAACGCAGGAGAGCAAGAGAGCAGAAGTGACAAAGCACTGGGCTTTCAGAGAAAACGTCCTCTTGAGTATCTGTTTGATTCCTAAATAAAGGGGCAAGTATCAAAACCTGCAAATGAGTAAAGCAAGAGCTTTTGTAACTAAACTGCCCAGACTGGATTTCTCTATCCTGCTGTACGCTGAAGTCAACAGGTGACCCCTGCAAAGCCATTTCCACACTGTGCTCTTCTGTATCCCCACTGGCAACACGCACGTAAGATTTCCTTGATGCACAATGAAAAGGGGCTCAGAAAATTAGCATTTGTCAAGTGTTTTAAACGTTTGAGCAGCAGGTCCTCTGCAGCAGCCAAGAACTCCTAGCTACAGCTTAAACTGGGCCACTATTTGCTGACAAGGAGCCTTGCGTTACCTCCCCTTCTCATGCTTGTGGTTTGTCACGTGGCTCTGAGGGATGAATGAGGGAACAGCAAGTTTCTCACTTAAAATCCAAGACCTTGAACTGAACAGTCACTTATCTCTACAGTTTAACTAGAGGACGGAAAACACAACAACCAAACCAAACATAGATCATGTCATTCTCATTATTGTACCACGATAACAGAACAAACAAAAAGATATCTGGGAGGACACATAAACACCATAGCTTCCAAAGGAGTAAACTGCGTATTTTGCCAAATTCTGACATCTTTTCTAGTGGTTAGATATCTCTGTCACTATAACCTGGAACACAATAAAACAATTTGACTGCCGTCTTCACTTGATTCAATAAATCAAATAGCACAAACCTATCCTAACCTCAGTACCACATATGTTATGCCACGGTCCTAGTGTCTCGAGGCAAAAAGTATGTGCAATACAGATATTAAGCCTACCACTCAAACATGTAACTCTACAATGACCCTGTTATCTACAGAAAAAGCATATGATGTTTTGACTCTGTCTTACGGGAAGCTATCATTAGTGAGATTGTAACAGCTCCTATTTGACCGCAGAGCCTGAAACCTGCATCTGCCAAAGAAATGTTGCCAGATTCCTTCACATTCATAGAGCATGATCTTAGTAAACACCCCAGCATTATTATCCAGATACAGAAATTATCAAGTCTGCTTGCTCATTTAAACATGTGATTAACTACTGAGGTTGAAAGGATTTGTCTTTCCTCTTGCTTGTATCTTAAACCATGTTTTTAACTTACTACTTTTTATAAACAAATTTAAACTTAACCACTCTCCAACTTCTGCTCTATATATTTTATTTATTGAAAAATATCTTAGCGTGATGTGTTGAAAAGTAGACATTGCACAGCAAATATTAAAGCCGGCTAAATGTGGCTCTCAAACTAGGAGGAATAGAACGAAAAACTGATTTTTTATAGCCAAAAAAAAAAAAAAAAAAAAAGACAAAGTGGAGAGCAAAAACAGAAATAGCAGAAAAAGAAAAAAAATGTCTAGCTTATAATATCCTAGTGAAAAGGCATTTATGAAAAATGTCTGCATTGCCAGAAACCTTCTATTTGTCAAGCAACTCAATGTAAAACTGTAGGGCCATCATGCCCAATTAGCACAAGTAGGACGTGCTGTCCTGTAGCAAAGTCAAGATTAATTAACTCTCTTGCCATTACTCACATCTGGTACAGGTACAAGAGGGATTTCAGGATTCTAGCAGAGTTTTTGGAAGCGGCAGAGGACTGCAACAAATCCAAGGCCAGGATTCTCCCAAGTACACCTGTGGTTCCCCCTGAAGTCGGTCACTGACTGAAATATTGAGCCCGTTTCGGCATGAATCGCTCTGAAAACAGACGCTGAGATGCCCATTGCTGTGGTAAGAGCCACTTGTAGAGGGCACAAACACTGCCGGCCCTGTCTGCACACCAGGGACTGTGGGAACGCAGCAGGTTTGCCTGGAAGATCCATGGATCGCCTTCAAGAACAGAAAAGACCACATAAGTGTCCCCCCCATCTGCCCACTACTTTTTTTTTTTTTAATACATCAAATCAGAGCAACTGCTGTCTTCAGAAGATGCATGTGGACCTTGTTAATGATAGCTCATAAAGCTTTGTAGCTAAAACTAAAAACATGTGCCATTAGATCTTAATAGCAAATGAAACAGTTTCATCTTGCACTATAATCTGGGGCACCATTCTTTTCATAGTCTGACCCCGAGCAGCACTCGACTTGGTACTATTTGTATACCTGTCCTGGTAAAAATTTATTGCCTAGTCATTATTTTAAACCATCAGCACTGCTCAGAGAGAGGATTAAAGCATGTTAGCACAATATAAATAGTACTAATGCTAACAGCCTCCTAATCTTTTTCATCTGAGGAGTAGGTATCACATCTACTGTTTAAGGCAAACTAGGGTTGGCAAGGAAAAACAAGCTCTTGCCTTCCTAAAACAGGACTTAAATGCCTAAGCAAGTAAATTTAGAGTCAAGGAGGTGACAGAAAGGGGCGTTCAGAACATTAGATAAACATCCCAGAAATGGTCACCCGAAACTGCACTGCAGGGTTTGTCTTTCCCTCGCAGGGCTCACCCTGACAGCACTAAGCAGCTCGCGGTTGCAGAGTATACTCCCTTAAACACCATGCAGGGAAAACTTCTGTTTGTTTAGGTGTTATGAACTAATCTTAACCAAGTTCTCCTCACAATTCACAATATAGAGCGGAGTTAAACAAACTTACCTTCTCTGTTCTAAATTGCCAGGAAAAGCTCACTGAATACCACACAAAGAATACTGAGCATTTAAAAAATGCATGTAAAAAAATACAAGTTTTGGCAATTGAATTACAACCTCTCCAAGTATATGTGCAAATAGGAAAAATAAGAAAAAAAATAATATCAAATGAAGAAGTTACCTCTTCTTTTCGCACTTCTGGGGAGATTAATATGTGAATTCAGCTGATCATAGCACTTCACAAGGTCCTTGGAACTTGTTCCTGTAAAGAAATTCAGGTAGTTTTCAGTTTATTGTACTTGAATGCCTCAAAAGGACACAGACAAGATAGTTTTTGCAAAGTTTATCATTTGCCTGGGAGCAGAGTAGATGCTCCACGTGTTACCATTCCCTTTAGCAACTAACAGAAAACAGTGACCGTAACCTTCCACTCCTATTTTCATGTGGATTATGTTCTTGCTTTAAAGGGCACTAAGCCCACCTGCACAGGACATGAGAGTGATCTCTGAGTCTTCCAACACAACGTCACCACAACAGCTTCCTTGTGTAGGTGACCCCAGAAGGTCCCAACATAACATAGGGCCTGTGTAAAGTAGAGCCAGATCTGCCTTTCTTGATTCTGCTGGCCACACTGCCAGATCTGTGGATCTCACAGACTCTCCAATAGCCTTCACTGTGCTGACTAGAAGATTCATCTCCACAGGAACATGGAGGAGTAGGGAAGAAAGCTCTGACATTTTTCTTAATATGTACTTAGGAATATACAGATACTTGCTCATTAAGTGCTAGGATGTAGGAATTGTAGATTTGTCCATGCACAAGGAAAGCTTTTCTCTGTCTTGCATGGCAGCAGCCCACTGAGCTAGTCCCTGGTTAGCACTCAAGATCTTGTGCTCCCATCTGCCCAGGACAGTCCAGCCATTAACTGCACCATAGAGGCAGGTGCTCCTTGTTTCACATCTACATCATACTGGTACCCACAGACCTCTCACAGGCCTCTCTCCAGCTCTCAAACAGACCCAAAGCATTTTAGGTAGACATTCCTATTTTCCAATAGGAAATTGGTTTTTCCATTTGTTTAATGGTCTCTCTTATTCTGAAATTACTATAAAGTAACTTATAAAAGCTGAAAGAGTACATAAAGACGAAATTTTCTGAAAATTGGTATCATTATGCAATCACATCCTAAACTATATTTCTTCTTGATTACCTAAATAACAATAATTTATCAAATGGCAGTTGCTTCCTTCCATGCATATAACTAATTTTACACATAGTATAAAATTCAGGGCAAGCTGCAGTTGTTACTCTACCTATTTTTATCTGTTTTATATACTTTTTAATATACAACCTGAGTCATCCTAAAAGCATCTTTGAGAAGGCAGACACCGTGAGGGCAAAGGCCACTGAAGAAAGGACATAAAGTTTAACGTCCTTGTGAGGGGACCTGCTTAATTAAAAGATGACCTTCGTTACATGAGGTTGCATAAAATATCATTTCAATAGAGTACTTAGGGAAACTTTCCCCGACCGTGACAGCGCTGCCAAAGCCTAATTAGAGATTCATTTAGACATATATATCAACATTATTGTCTGTCAGGCAGCCACAATGTATCACGCTTAAGTGGAATTTTAACTGTCTAAATCAGTCTGTCTAAACAACATAAAATAGGAAACAAATCAAAAGGCCAGTTAAAATCATAAAAGCGACACATATTTATACTAAAGTACCATTTGTTGCATTAACGGCTTTAAGGGGAGGGAGCGTGAGGGCTCGAGCGGCTGCGCCCGGCCCTGCCCACTCAGGGAGGCCCTCGCGGCCATGTTGTGGCGCCGCCGCCATGTTGTGACACCGCTGCCCACGTACTGCAGCACCTCGGGTCTTCGCAGGGCTGCCCAAAGAAGCTTTCAAGTCCCTATGTGCACTGAAATTTTTAATTTTTGTTGAGAGTTCATCTGGCCAGGAGACACAAGTATTCTCTGGTTGCCCAAGGGAAGATTTATGTCGAGCACCAGCAGCCCCTGCCACCTGAACGCCGCGGCTGCCGGTCACTCCAAGAGTCACAGCAAGGAAGGGTTTGGGCTCCCAAAACTGAAACCTGGGCAGTTAGCCTGGCTGAAAGGCCTGTATTTTAAAGGAACACATTCATTCTTATGCAATGACATGTCATGAATTTTGCATGAAGCACAACACTTGGTGTCAGAAATTATATCAGCTCCAGCTAGGGGGACAATGATACATATGTTTGTACAAAACACATAATATGTTTTATTTAAAGTGTGCCATAAATACTTTTGCCCTGAAGCAAGGTTTAAAATGAGCTCCATAAGGTGTCATAACAAAATGTATGTTCAGAAAGGCGAAAGAGGTGCATCCATTCCTAAACGTCTAACTTCATCTGCAAGAGCCGCCGCTGTTCCCTGATAGAGCTGCCACTCTGTTCGGAGACAGCTGTACCAGCGAAACACACACAGCCACGTGTCCTGCCCTGCTCACGACTTAGCATCAAACCTTTTCTTGCTCGAGAGCCTGAAGAGATCCAGCACCCTGCGAGCAAAGCAGGAACCCGGGCTACAGAGCCTGGGTGCGAGACACTTGGGGCTATTCGGTATGGGAAAGGAAGCCACAATCCTTTCTGCGGATAAACAACAAGGGTCTTGGCTGTAGCAATATCCCTCAGTTTGGCAAATTCCAGGACCCATCCAGGCAGTTTTGCTTGGCTTTGTCAGAATCAATACATCTGAGCTAGGAGTAGATCGGAAGCCTCTCAACAAGAGCTGTCCTTGCAGCGATGCATCTCTCCTTGGTTCAACTACTGCCTTCAAGTGCCTATTGTAATTGTATTTATGTCCTTACTCAAGCAGATAATGGAGCATTTGGATCCTGGAATTGCTCGTGATTATGGGGCACATAACTTCAGGCCAGCTTGTGGAGCTGTGCCATTACATGAGATTTGTTCTGCAGAAATAATTGAAAAGAATAACTCAACCACTGGGACGTCACATCCACTTAGAGCACTTGACCATCTCTAGGTAGATCACTGATAGAGCTAGGAGCCCATGTGCCCTCCTGCAGCTCGAGGGTGAGATGTGAACGTGCCTGTTTGTGCGCACACACACACACGCCAGGAGCCAGGCAGGGAGCCAAGCCAAGGAGATCCGGGCAGCCGCCATCACTGTCGCACTCCCTTTAGTGCCAAGTCACTCCTCATAAATCAGAGGTGTCTGTCTCCTCCTTTCTCCAAGGAACGGTCTTAAAACAACTCAAAAATCCTAAGCCAATATCTAACCCTAAGCAGCAAGCTGCATAAAGCTCAAGCTGAGTGAGCAGAAAATACACGGCCCAAGAAATACTAAAGCTCACACAGAACGTACGGAAACAAAAAGCTCCACAAATAACTACTATGATAATAGTAGGGAAACCTAAGCGTGTCCATAGTTGCAAAGAGAGCCAGACCCTGGGCTGTGGCCAACCACTCACCTTCATTCTCCAGGAGCAAGCTCAAGGGGAAGGCAGGAGGGCTGCAGCCCCCTGCATTGCTCCGTGGGTCATTAGCAGGAGCTGCCACAACACACACCAGCCACCACCAACCGGTTCTAAAAAGCCATATATGAGCTTGCTTTTTCCACTAATGAAAAGGCTTAGAAACGATCTCATTTTATACCTGTACCTAGGCAACATACATTTGTACGAGCTATAATTAAGCTAGCTGGAAGAAGAGCTTAGTGCACGGTGGTTCCCTACTGCCCAAACGCCACCTCAGGGCTGAGGTTTCTGCTGCTGTGTTGGAGGCTACGCTGAGACCTGCTGTCCTAGACACATGATACAAAGCCATTAATGTCAGAAATGGCAGCATTCTATGTAACGCAAGAGCACAGATTTAAAAATAAACACAAAACTTCAAGAGCTAGTACAAGGCCTGAAAGCAAAAGGCTGGCAAGGTTCAGACACTCCAGAGTCAATCTGAAAGGAAGGGCTGTTAACAGGAACGCTGGGGCTGAATCCCACACTCAGCAGTGCCCCACGAGAGAAAATCACGGGAACTCCCAACAAGGAGCAGTGGATGCTCCTGCTTGCTAGCAGGAGGAGGACTCGTTTTCTAAAGCATAGGGCATAGAAGATCCTACAAAGGCAGCACATTGCTCTGACATGCAACGGATCCTCCTGCCTCTGAAGTGGCTCCTTATTAAATCAAGGACAGTCTTTCCATTGACCTCAATAGGGGTTGGAGGGGACCCAGAGGGAAATCAATCCCACCGGCAGTAAAACAAACAAAGGTGATGGATTTCTTCATGAGCTGGTCACCGATAGAATTAAGCCAATCAAATAGCATCACATAATGATCTAAAATGCAAAATAAAGTCTTCTTCCTCCTTTACCCACACTGGTCTTCAGACGCACTTCAGATTAAAGATCTGAGCCTCATTCAGTGCAAGAAGTAAATATAACAGTCCCACGTTTTTGTTTTTTCTAGCACAACAATGCTTTTCTCTCGGTGGAGACTAACTGCAGAAAATAAATATTTACATCATTGGGAACTGTAGCACAGATAGCTCTAAGAAAAAAAAAGTAAAAAAACTTGTATTTGTATTTTTGATGAGCAACCTAATTAGACCAGAGCATCTTTAATTAAGTGTGTCAGCCCCAGTGGAAGCCACAGAGTTCAACACTAATAAAGCTGATAAGGTTTTTATTTTTCAGACTTAGTTTATTTAATGCCTCATCCATGTTAAGCCAATCTGTAACATATGGGCAGTTCTCCCACTATGGATTTATCGTTTGGGTGTTTCTTTTTGCGAATTAATGCAATCAAACTCCTGCCAGTATTAATTATTTTTCTCCAAGCACAAATCCCAGAATTGAAAACTCACACATATACACCTCTTATTTGCTGTGTAAGCCATAGCCTAACTACTGAGAAATAATTTTAAAAGTGCTGGGAGAACCAAAATGCTTCTGGATTGCATGAGTGAGCTTTGGAAAAAGTTCAAGAAACGGCATTTATATATCTGGCCTTAAAAGACAGTCATCAGAAATGCAGCAAAACTTAACTGCATATTCACGTAAGATGTGACAATTACTTTGGCCTTTGAATATTTCCCATTTGCATTACCTTTACTTAATAGGAGAGAACGAGAAGGATGCTAACCAATTATTGGGACAAACTGTAATATCACGGGGCAAACTCTTCACAAGCTTCTTGCTTCTGGACCGTGAGACTGGGAACTACACGTCCTAAACCTGAACTCTATTTCCCTGTA